TGGTTGCAAATTTTTATTCAAATGTGCGTAATTTCCGATACGATTCGCATTCTTCTTTGGTCCCCAATCGTGAGCTGGCGCGTTATTACGTGTAAATGCTTCCAAATAGCGTGGTTTTTCATCATAATTTTGATCGGGCACTAGATGATTTCTGGTATCATAACTGATAGTTTGAGACTAAAATTGGACACAGTATATAACTTTAAAAAAGAAAGGATTTTCGCGAGCCCGTCAGTTTACGCACAATTTCCTCCCTTCTTATTTGTATGTATTCTTTAATATAATTGACAATGTAAACAATTGGTATTGGAATGATGCACATAACGAATATAATCCAACCAAGAGCTGAAAAATAATTACTTGAGAAAGTAAAAGTACAACACAGAATCCAATTACTGACCTATACTCCAAGTTGGAAATTCATAATCTCCAACTGTGAGTGGTTTTGTCGCTATCAACCTCGAAATTGTTATAATCTAGGAAATACTCTCATTTGATTGTGCACAATTTTACCTAGGCGCGAGATACGTACCAACAAGAGAAGAGGAGCAGTTATTCTCCAAGTTAAAAATAAATAATATTCAGCTGCGCGTTTTCTTAACATCATTTTCACATCGTTCATATATCGATTAAAACCTGTACCGACAAATGATATAGTATTCAGTTACTACTCTAAGTGAAATGGGTTGTCATACCATATATGTATGAAATACAAACAACTTCAAAAAAGCCAACCACAAGTACGGATAAAGCAGCTGCATACTCTTGTATCAGCTCATACCAATAATAGCCACCCTAGAGAAAATCTCTGTTATATCATGAATTCTCGATGGGAGTATTAGCATACCGGACAAGTAAATGGCAAACTGATAAGAAAGGAAACAATACATGTGACAATAACAACATATGGTCTTTTACGGGATAGTGCTGGAAAGAATTCACACAGTGAGGTGATCGGAACATCGGTTAATGCAAACTAAAGTATAAATATATCAATAGAGATTGCTCATTACTGAAAAATAATACAACGTACCTGTGAGCCAAGGCCAAGTGCTAATAACATGAGAAAAAATATAATGGCAAAAAATGGACTGGCTGGCATTTTTGTAATGGCTTCTGGATAAGTAATAAACGCGAGGCCCGGTCCTGATGCTTGTGCATAACTCTCAACAGTGCTATTGAGTTCTTTAGCTAGAAAACCAATGGTGGAGAAGACAGCAAATCCGGCGAATACACCCGTGAAGCAATCGCATAATACAACAATACACATTTGCCTTGAACAAATGACAACCTTGTTATATGGGGTCAGACATAATATAAAAGACGCTTACTGGAAAAAGTTATTATTAAATTTGTTTGAACTTGAGTAGGCAATTAATGAACCAAAACTCAAACCCAGAGAAAAGAAGACTTGTCCTGCAGCTGCCTGCCAAGTCTAGAAAAACAAAGCACTTTTGAGACCTAAGGTCGTTCAAAACTACACTGTACCTTAAATTCACCGATTGTCTTTAGTTTTGGTATAATATAAAATTTCACACCGTCGACAGCTCCTTTCAGTGTTGCACTTTGGATGATTAGTATAAGTAATACAATGTAGGGAAATATGGCGGTAAAATAAGCAACCTAGAAACGGATTTGAAATAATAAGAGCTCACTAATGACTAGAGCAACAAACATACTTTTCCCGATGATTTAACGCCGCGTATGATACACAAGCACACGATAATCCACGCGCCGAACAGTACAAGTGCATAGTATCGTCCAGGCACACCAAAATTTTCTATACCATCACTTTTACCCAATAATAAAATACTATTCACAAAATCAACAATGAAGAACTTTAAATACTTGTATAGAGTAGTATAGGCTCTTACTTGTAGAACTCATCTGTTGCTGGAGTTCTCTTCAGAGCAGTGGCATTCGATACGTTACTTAAAGCTGCCAAATCAATCTCGTTGCATCCTTGCGGTCGACCAGTATTTCCTG